ATGGATATAGTGACTATTGTGGATTTAAATGACTGGTTGTCTTTAAAGTGCATTTTTGAAATTTGTTTTGGTGACATGTAATATGTTCATTGGCAAATTCGAAAACATGGTTAGAAATCACTTGCTGTTAATTATAGATGTCAAGGCCGCCATTGTTTGTAAACATTGCTTTTAAACAGCATGCTCGGTGAAAACAAGTAATTTTACAGGGGGTACAAACTTTCAGCAATAGCAAAAAATCTACAAGGCCAAGCACCTATTTCTTTGTGATATTTTGCATGTATTTTGCATGTATAGGGAGTTGCTAAAGCAGTGACAGAGTTTCTGTAGCCTATATATTTGCAGGTATTTTTGCCAGAGGGACGAAATATGTTGTTTTTGGGTCTCGGACCACCATGGATTTTTGGCTTTTACGGAATGAATTGGATTTTTTAACTGTTTGAATGTTGCACATGGGATGATTTCATTACAGATTTGCAATGTTATGACATATATGTTCTTAACAAAATGTATTTATTTTCCAGGTTGTGTAGTTTCGGATCAGATTTATCAGACATATTGCTTGTAGGACATTGACGGCAGAAACTTGAAATTTAGTGTGGAGTGCTACCTTAGACATACAAATTATAGTTTAATTTGGGACACTGCCAATCCCTCGGTTTGCGCACAAACTTGTCAAAATCTTAGGGACGATTTGATTCAGGCCAGTTTCATTATCAACAAAGATAAGGTTTTTTGACATGATGTGACCGAAAATATTTTTCCAGATAAATGTACCATTTGATGTTGGTTTAGACCACGAATCTTTGTTCAAAATTACAGATAATTCGCGCACTTCGTTATTCCTGAATAATTATTCAAATTGTAAAAAATGACCCAAAATGAAAAACGATTAAACACGTTTCCCTCAAATCGGACTGAGAAAAGCATAAAAATACGATTTTCAATTTATTTCAAAGTATATATCTTAACTTTCTTTGCATATATTTCTGTTTAAAGTGCCCCAGCTCATTATGTAAGAAATTCAATTCAATTATGCTCTTAAGCTTTTAAACCTCAGTGGAGTCCCTTTATGTCCTTTTTATCGCATTCTTGAACGCAATTTTTTGTGTGGATGCTAGTAATATTGCTAGCGCATGGGTTATGTTAACATAATAAAATCGCTTGCTGTATGTCAACTGAAGAAATGTGTAAAACTAGGTCCAATAATAGGACACTCAGCTCACTAAATCAAGCAATTGAGTCTTTTTTCTATGTTTTGGCACTGTTTGAATTCGCTTTATTGGTGTACTGGTAATTCCAGCGTAGACATCAGTGTTTTGGCCCTTTATAATAAAGCCTCAAAATGGAGAGTTTAAAATATAATTATACTTAATATAATTTAAGGTGTATTAAATTATTGGGCATTGTCATCAAGTGAATAAACAACAGTGAGGCTTTAGACAACAACACAACCAGAATATCCGAAATCTGCACATATCTCTAGACACAACAATCATAAGTAATTTCAACAAACGTTACAACTTTTGCAACGCCTACAATTTTGAAATTATTAGACAACAAAATAACTGCAAATGTAACACACCCTGGTCTCAACCATCGTAACAAAATTCAAAACCGAAGCACTGCCAGCAAATTATTAAAAAAAATGTGTCGCAAAATACAGAATAAGTGCAAACGCAACGACAACAAATTCCACAACCCAAAATCAGCAAACAAATAATTCAGGAATTGTATCGAAAACACGATAATAAATGCAAGCATTACTTTAACAATTTAAAAACTGAAGCACCACCAACAAAAAGTGAAAGAACGGTTTCGCAAAACACAACAATAAATGCAAGCGCACATTCAACAAATTTCACCACTGAAGCATCGCCAACAAAAAAAAAGTTCAAGAATGGTAACGCAAAACACAACAATGAATGCAAGCGCAATGAAAACAAATAACACAACCAAAACACCACAAACAAAGAGAACAGTATCGCAAAACACAACAATAAATGCAAGCGCAACGTCATTAAACTTCATTACCCAAGCACCGCAAACAAGTTATGCAATAATGTTATCGCAAAACACAACAATAAATGCAAGTGCAACATCAGCAACTTTCACAACCGAAGCACCCCAAACACATTATTCGAAAATGCTATCGCAAAACACAACAATATATACAAAATTAACGTCAACAGGATTTAAAACCGTAGTACCGTCAAGATACCGCCCATCAATTCTTTCACATAATACATCAACTAATACTGCAGCCTCGAATCTGCCAATAACAAAAACAAATACATAGACAACAAATTCTTTTACCATATACGCTGTAGATTTTTGACATCATTTCATCATAGTATAAATCTTTCCTTAGGGTCAGTTGTGGACCAGTTTACACAATTCTTCTGGACAATCAAATAAGTTAATAGAAAGATTACATTTGTTTCCTGTACCTTACTATCAACATATACACATGCATTACGACAGACAAGATCATTCAAAAGAACCACGAATTACGAGCGAAAGTCATTACGTCACCAATATATCCTTTAACTTCAATCTAAACTTTGTTCACGGTGAACCTGGCAACCCGTTCGTGAAAGACTGTTTGTTAAAGTGATCACATCCGATACGAACTGGGCCATCACGATGAGCTTGCATAATTGCTATACAAAACCTGCTGCAACTTCGTTGGGCAATTTGACATTTTACATTCAAAATAATAGGCAAATGTTTCTAGCATTTCATTTCTATTTCTTGTTCACTGATGTTTAGAAACCTATGAAAAATTTAAATTTTAATTGAATTATTTGTGCATTTTACCTATGAAGTGTCGATTGTAAATTAAAAACAAAACAACAAGAAACCCACCCAAAAAACAAACAAACAAAAACTAGAGCATAATGTCAGTTTTCGTTCAAATTACGTTTCTAGATCCATTTTATGGCTTAGAGGCTTGTATTTAACATTATTGTTTTTATCTTGTAAAGAAATAAAAGAATATTCTCTTAATAATATATCATTTGAAAGCATTCATTGGCTTACATAAAACACGAAATTCTCCTTCATCCGTGATATTTTCTTTACTTGTTGCGAGGTCAACACCAATACAAGCATTATTTTGCGAACGCCGCACGAGACCAGGTTTACATTTGAAGCTTCGATTACACAACTACCACAAAGATATAAAAATCGCATGTGATGCTACATACTGTGGATAGGGATGAGTTTTCAAACAGCACCCAGACAAGCCATCCAGTCATAAAAAGACGTAAATCTGTTGAATGACAGAACATACCAATGATTTAAATTTAAGAAATTCTCGATCATCTTCATACATGTTATATCCTTTTTGTATCATAGTTTGGGGACTTTTCTGTTGAAAATGTGTCAGAGTTAAATCGTATACATATACATGCACAGTGCGTTAACTGCAGAGCATGCCCATTGATTGGTTCATTTTGTCTGGGGTTTACATATTGTGACGACGGGGAAAGGGAAAGCGATGGAAATATCATTTTCAGATGCTCGTTCATTGGTTCCTTTTTTCAGGGGTTTCATATTTTGACATCACGGACGTGTTTTTATTTTAGACTATGATAACATCAAAACACTCGGCAATCTGATTTATACTCAAGTTTGTCGTTCTCTTTATATTTCTCATCTGTTTAAAAGTATTTTTTGGAACAACGATAATGGCTTTATTGTTGTCATGAGAAAGTGTTATGTACGAATTCATTGAATTACTATGAAAATACTTACTTTTTAATCTTGATTTATTTGGCATTAAAAATAAACAATAAAATCCTGACATAAAAAAAACAACAACAAAAAAGAAACAACAACAACAAACAATTTCAAAGATGAAAATTTTTCAATACTTCAGTAATATACATAAATTAGGTAAATATAAAACACTTTTAGATTCTTAATGAACAAATACTAGAGTTGCAATTTTGTAGAAGTTGTTGTCGTTTTAAATTAAATCAAAATGAGTTATTTATGGTGCAAATCTTAAAAAGGAAAATATTATATTGATGTGAATGCAAATATCGTTTAGTAATTCAGTTATTTTATCAAACAAGTGGTTCTTTATGTAGGTAGTACAAAAACGTAATTTAATAAACTACAACACATTGACCTTGGCTATGGTAGTGTTATCAACTGTATTCAGTTTTTTATGCAAATTAAAGCGTTCTTCTCTTTGCCTTTTATCGAATCGATACAATGCACATTTATTAACGAATTAATCATTTTCGTTGCTATGGAACGGGAAATATCTATTTTCTTAATTTTTTATGTAAAAATAATAGATTATTAGAACAGTTTTGTTTCTATCCCACTTGAATAGGATTATTATTACACGGGTATATACTTTTACAACTTTCGGTTTATAGCCTATATTTATCAAGTATTTGTGTTTTTTTTATCATTTGCAATTGTCCACTTATCACTTGTTGCATAAACAAGACCTTCGGCTGCTACCTTACATACATATTTCAACTGGCGAGAAGAATGTTTTAATTTACAAGTAATTGCTAGATATACCCCGAAAAAATGCTAAATCCGTAATCGTTTATGAAATGCATTTAAATTTATCATGATTGCATACTGGTATAAGCACTAGGCGAAATTTAACATACCAAAGCTCATATACCGTATTGATTTAGTTATATGCTTAATAAGTCGTTGGATAAAAGCTAACTAATAACCAATAATAAATGAATACATGTAAAATCTTGTTGACAAAATATTAACATTAAATTATGATTCGAGTATTTGAACCTATAATCTATTCATCTATCTATCATTGACAAAATATTTTTTCCAGATTCAGCAAAAATTTCCTTGCGATTTATTACAACTACGTGGCATGACAATAATACAAGATAGGATTCTTCCTCGTTGGCCGCACGTGTAGTTTTTTATTTTTTATTTTTAAAGTAACATTGTAAGATTAGCAAATGCAATAATAAAACGTGCAGGTGATAAATAACCCCCTTATCTCTTTGCAATATTAAGCAAGGAATAACAAACGTTAAGCGATAAATTTTTTATCAGACGGTCGTTTATATATTAACGTTGATTTATTAACCAAAGTCTTATCGAAGGTTTTCGATTAAGGTGTTCATGACTTGGACTTTTTATTTAAAACATGTCTCTCTAATTATTTGTTGTGCATTCAGAACACAATAAATACGAAAGGCAATAAGAAAAAAGGAATAAAACTGACAAATAAATAAAGGGTATGTTAATCTTATTCTAGTTTATTGCTTTGATTTGAACAAGAATAATGTCCTTTAGGATCACTGTCGCATATTATACTTGTGTTTTATATTCGAAATACTTGTTGAAAATTAGTTTGTCATTTAAAATGAGTTTAATTGAATGATGTAATATTTCGAGGAGTTATGAATGACTGTTAAAAAGATTGTAAATTTCTTAAACGTTTGCCTATAACACACTGTTTGAGAAATACACACACACATGAACGAACGCACGCACACACAAGCGCACGCATGTACACACACACGCGTGCAAGCAATCATTGTTTGAAAACCAGGACTACTCTGTGACTTTTGTTCGTTGAGTTCGGCGTGATACATTTTAAGGTTCTAAACAATCTGTAACAAACATTTTTTGTCAGAATATGTACGTCATAGCAAATTCATTTTCAAGTGAGCTATTTTCTAAACTAAACTGCTGCAAGTGTCAAGAACTATTGAAAATTCAATAAATCATTACTTTTATACCACTTTGGAGATCGGTTTATAGTATGAACAAATATTGAAAGGCATAAATCATATCTGCACATACAAGAATTTAAAACTGCAAGTTGTTTATCTTTTTACGGACACACCTAACGTTAACAAGATAAGCAGTTCATTTTTAGCATTGTATGTACGTTGATATATTAGCTGAAGTATTCAAAGAACATCAGTTTAGCATAAACAACTGTTCTTTTTTAAAGGGCATAATTTAGTTAAGTTAAACCTTCATTTCCTGGAAGAGTACGTTTTATAATTTGTACTTAATAATACGTTTTTAGATTGATTCTTCTAATATAAGACAAATAGCTTTCGCCACTCACATTTTGTTTTACCACTCGATGAAACTATTTGAGCATATCGGCGACTAACAATTCATTAAAATTAAACTAAACAACCAAAATATCACCATCAATTCAGAAATGAAATTGTTACATATAATATCATTCACTCTTTTAGCTTTTCAGTTCCTCAGCTAATTTGACTTTTTCACCTTGTTGTAGGTCAAGGTCACTTTTTTTTGATATCCACTCTCATTGCCCTAAGCGTACCCGTATCAATTTAAAAACCTTAAGATCCACATGCACAACGTGATATATAAAATGCTTTTTGAATTCTTAATTTCACAAATTCATTCCTGTCTTTTATTCAAAATTAATAGTATGTACAATCACAGATAGTTTTTAATTGTTTTACACCACTGCGTGGGACAGACGAAAAATTATTAGTCGAGATAAACAAAGGATTATGGTGTGAAAATAACTGTTTGGGCTGAAATTGTACTTCGAGACACTGAAAATATCGAAATTAAAGAAAATATATATAAATAATTTATAAAAACCTAACATAGCATAACATAAAGTATTATATCACATAATAACATATAACATAATATAATATAATATTTATTATTTAACTTTTATATTTAATACCCCTGCAATCTAATTTGGCACGCTTGTGTATGGTTCAAATTATATCCATGGTGACCCACTATTTCTGAAAAAATCACGTGTTAATGACGAGTTTCTGCAACTTTCAAAACATCAAAATCACATTTTAAACGTCAACATTGATGTTAAAGATAATAATCAGAGTATTCTTTGGCAATATATGATGTAAAACTTAAAGTTGCTAACACAACACTTGCCTAACTACCCTCTGTGATAAGGATTTAAGACTTTTAGTTTCAAATTGTAGGACGTAACTTCGAATCTTAATGAAACATTTTAATGTTTTTATTATTATCATATTTTGTAAAACTTGACTACTATGTTTTTGTGCATTCTAATTATCCATTTTACTACTGTACAAATTGAAATTATTAAATATTAAATAAGGATCTACATATCAAAGTTATGATTTTTTTTAAAGAAAAGACACAATAAGATAAAGAAATGGTTCATCCACTAATGGTGCACATCATAAACAGATAATTAAAGAAATCTGAAAAGTAATTGTTTGTTGAGGATTCGAACTTGCAACTTCGGGATTGCTATGCTATCATACTTAAGACTAGGCCATCCGGACGTTTATATAACATAAAGTATCATGAACATTCCTATTAATAAAATCGATTAGTAAATCGTAGTAAATTACGGAAACTCACGAAAAGGTTTACGAAAATTAATAAGTCTCAGGTCAATTCTGTTCATAGTTCATATACGTACATTCTAAAGCCTCAGTTTCTTGCATCATTCACACGGTATCCGCTGTCCCTCTCGAGTCACTTTTTTCGCGAGTCTTGTGTCGACAATTTGGTGTTATCTTAACCAGTTGTCGAAAATGTACATTGCATAAACATGTCTTTTTCTACAAAAAATTTCTTTTTTCAGTTACGAAATTGCAAAAATGAGGTATTCAGTGTTATTTTTTGGTAAGTTTCCGAAAAAAGTCACCAAAAGATAATTAATTTTTAAAATAATATGAAGCGTAAATATGCTTAATTTTTAATAAAATTTGAAGGTTGAAATTATTTTTATTCAATGTTGATTTGATATTGTATTTATCTACAGAGTTAGTTTTATTTTTGCATGCGGAAAATATAATTATTCATAACGAAAACGTGTGATACCACGTCAAATTGTAGTAAATTTGATATGGAAATTTAAGTAATAATATATATTAATTTAAGGATAAAAGCTTACGCTGTTTTTATAAACAGTATATAAGTATATAAACACAAGTAAAATTATTCAAGATATAAATATTGGTCAATCCAATTATTTCAGTACTAGAAGAATTCGATATTACCCACGTTTTCTACATATGACTTTAATAACCAGTAAATGAAATTGTGATATAATACATTTCTATTTTTTTGTTGCTGTTTTTTGTACGTGGTTAATTACGAATACATCATCTTACAAAATATTTTTGTCGATTCTATAGTACTGGTAAATGGAATAATAAGAGATTCAGCAATAACATCTACAAAAACAGCTACAACAACAGAGCCATTGACAACAAGATCATCAACAACAACAGAAACAACAGCAGCAACAGCAGCAACAGCAGCACCAGCAGCACCAGAATCAGCTTCAACATCAGCGCTTACTTCAACAAAAACGACAACAAAAACAACTACCACATCACCATCAACAACAACAACACAGTCATCATCTACTGTATCCGAACAAACTGTAGAAACAACAGAAACAGCTACAACAACACAAGAGGTAACAACAACACCAAAATCAACCACAAAAACATCAGGGACTATGACGGAAACAACAACAACACTAGCAAAGACAACATTAACAACAGAAGACCCAACTACAACAACAACAAACAAAAGTTCGACTAAACCTGTCTCAACCACCAATCAAACCGTAACTGAATCAACAACACTACAGCCAAATACAACAGCATCAAATTTAAGTACCGTAATAGTAACAACAACGGAAACAGGCCAATCAGGATCACATTCAACAGTAACTGTTTTCAATGAAACAACTACGACTGAAATAAATACAACAGATTCAAGAGATACGACAATAAGTTCATCGGACTCATCAACTTCGATAGCAACTTCAACAAAACAGCCAGACACGACCACTAAATATCCTGGTGAAACGAAATATTTAAGTGAGTAATTGTTTCCTATTTGACTGCTGTGCTATTAAAATGTTTTTTTGAGAATTCCGCCATTGCTTTAATTGATGTACTTCTTAGGAGCAATGACGGAAACAATAAATTTATTAATTATTTTTTTTTACTATAAAGTAAATAATTAAGTGTTTTATTATGCCCTTGTTATTGTATCTAGTATCCTAGATCGAAGTTCTGTTTTATGTAATTACAAACATTTTAAATCGTGTCTTAGATACGAAAATTATCTTGACATTTTACCACGTAAATTTAGAATGTATTTTTGTCGATTAAGACTATCTGTTCATCCTCTCAAAATACAAACAGGAAGGTTTGCCACTAATAACATTCCTCGTGAACAAAGATACTGTCAGTGCTGTAATGTTTTGGTATAGAGGATGAGTATCATTTCATATGTGTGTGTTCAAGTTTTGTAGATTTACGTAAAAATATATAAAGTTACTATTATAAACAGACCATCTATGTTTAAATTTACTGAATTATTGTGTATTAAAAATAAAAAAATATTAATAAATGTTTGCAAATATATCAAAGAAGCTTTAAAGCTAAGAAATACAATTTTGAACTCTCAATTGTAGTTTATCCTCTCATGAATTTGGTGCTTGTAATTGTTATGTTTATATTTACTATAATGACTCGCCATACATATATTTATGTGATTATGTTGTATATATTATTCAATTCATGTTAACAAGACGATGTACTTTGTATAAGTCTAGAAAATAAATTTTTTGTTCTGTTCTGTTATTGGGCTGAAGAGTGTCATATTAATATGACAGTCTAAAGCCCAATAACATGACCATTATGAAAACACTTAATTATTGACAATTATATTAATTAACTACACATTACCAAAAAAGTTACCTACTTCATGAATAAAAAATAACTAATGTGAAATTCCATTGTTGTGAGGTATTGTAAATAAGATTCTTGTTTTAAAAATGTCTCGGAAACCTAAATTGCAGCAATTCAAAATGGCGACTTTTTTAATGACAAAAACAGATTCATAATAGCTGAGCTGGAGAGCCAATCACAATTCGCTAATCTCATATTGACCGAGTTTTCTCATACTTTATGCATAAAAGTCTTGTTTTATGTTAATAATGTCGTGGCGAACTTCATATTAGCCTTACATTTATAGTGAAAAGTGCCTAATATTGAAAAGTTAATTAATGATTATTCCTAAAATTAACTCAGTTCAATCATATTGTCAACAATACCTTCCGACAAAATACATGTGTAATTTTTTTTTGAATTCTGAATAAAACCATATTATTATCATTCTTTATTACAGACGTTCCATTGTTGACTAATACACTTTAATTACATTTTCAGGTTCTCTGAGAATTAACATTGACTTGCAAATCAGCTTATCAAACGCAACATATAATGAGTCATTAAAAGATAAATCGTCAGACATATACAAAGCCTACAAACGTTCTTTCAGGACTAAGGTAAGCTATCTCTATATGCATTCGCAATCTAAACCACTTATCTTTTAAATTGGATTTTTGATTTGGATTCAATATGTAAATGTTAAATAACTTTATCGTAAACATTGTAGATTAACCATGCAAATGCATTGACAAGGTTTATTTGTATTGAATTGTACAATATGCAAATGATGAATATTTGTCATATGAACATGTACTTGTGTTGAAAACCTTTATATGTTTCAATGTTCCGTATCGATATTTTGAAAAAAAAAGTACAATGTGCCTCCATAATTTCTTAATCTTATTATAAGAGAATATTTCAATACATTTCAGCTGTATGAGACATATGAAGATATATCAGGTTTTAACCATGTAATTATAAATAATTTCAGGTATGACTTTTTCATTTGATAATGTTTACAACTAAGATTTTTTGAGATCTTTAAATGCTTCACTATTTTCAAATCGAAATGCCATTCTACTTAAAGGAAGTTACATGGATATTAAATGGATAAAGATTTTAAATATTATGCATGCACGAGTTTATTTTAAATGAATTTGTTTTTGTCCAACAATCGTTGTTAAATAGAGCAAAATTATAAATAAATTTTAGTGAAAGATTGTTTTTTTGCAAAGTGCAGAAAAGGACAGCAGTAACTTACAAAATGGATGTTTTGATATATATAGAATGATGAAATCACAGTAAGCACATTCTGCATTTTTCTGCATTGACGTAATGAAAGTTTTGTTTTCATTTTAAGAAAGTCTCGTTGTAAACTAAACTGTTTTTGCGTTTGTTTGTTTTTTATTGTTGTTTTTGTTTGTGTATTTTTTAGTAATGGAAGTGTCGTTTGTAATTACACTGTTGTAGTAAATGCTGACTCAAATATAACTGTCATTGGTGACAAAATAGCAAATGCAACTTTGAACTTGACGACCTCAAGTTTGAACATAGACAACGAAGTCTTCGAAATATATGTAAATGAATCGATTGTTAATGCCAGCATTAAAAAAAGGTAAAGGGAAGGAAAACCCAGTTATTAAATTTTTTTAAATCTAAAAATTTTAAAAAAAAAAAGGGCCCATAGCAAAAGCACATATTTTTTATAGGGATTTTTTGGTTTGAAAATTTTTCCTATTTACAAAATGTAAACCAATGATAACACATATAAATTTTTAAATATTTTTTATCAAATTCTTTAACTGGGGAAAATCAAAAAATTTTTTACTTTTCCCACATTTGTGGAAAAAATTTTTAAAAAACCCCTTTTAAAATTTAAAAAAAAACCCAAGCGACGAAAAAAGGGTTTAAACGGTTTGAAAAAAGAATGGTCAGGCGGGTTTTCTGCATAAAAATTTAAAAAATTTTCCCCCTTTTCAGGGGGGAAAACGTTTTAAAATAAATTTTGCCTGGTTTATCTGGGGAAACTACAAAACTTTTTCCCAACCCGGTACATTCTTTTTTAACGGGAGAAAAGGGAAAACATATTCTTTCCTTTTCAGGAAAATGTAAATAAATTTTTTTGGGCCCCCCAAAAACCCAAAAATTTTTAAGTTTTGCTAAAGAAGTGTAAAAAAGTAAAATGAAATGGGGGGAAAAAAATTTTTTTTTTTTGAAAACTTGTGTTTTTTTTCCCGGCCCCTCGCAAAAAAAATTCGTGCCATTCCGCAGTAAATCATGCGTCTTATTAAAAATCATGTAAGATTCTGCTGCCTTGCAGCCGAATAATAGAAGATTATTTTAGATTATTGTTTTCGTATAGATAAAAACATTTGTTAACATTAATTTATTTCGCACTTATATTCAATTCACGAAGAAGTTGCACATGTACTATTGAATGTCTCTGATATTTAAGATGCATGCTACCAGAAAAATTTAAAAAAACTTTTTAAATTTATAAGGGTACAAGATATTTTTAGAATTTTTAAAAAAGTTTTGAAAATTAAAATAATTTTTTACATGATTTAGGACCAAATTTATTTTAATTTGCAGTATTTTTTACTGCATGCCCTCGCAATAACGCTATTTTTGCATAAAATTTTACCCAAATCTTGTTATTTACTTGGATTAAACGTGTGGTTTGCAATAATTAAATTACGTTATTAATTCGTTTGTTATACCGGTATGTAAATTAGTTTTTTGTTCGTTTGCAATATGTAAATAACTTTTTTTTACTTGAAAATTAGCTTAATACACATGAAAATGCTATATAAATCGTAGCTGAACACAACATTATGCAGCTATGGTTTTGTGATTACTAAACGAAGTCAGGTTTAACTTGATCTTTAAACATAAAAAACAGTTGTAAAAAAAATTTATCCCTTTTCTTTATAATAAAAAATTTATGATTTAAAAATGTGTATGACTTTTGTTTTTCTTTTTTCTTCTTTTTTCTACTTAAATGGGGTTTGTTTTTAAAAGGGCAATTTTTTTTTCCGCATAAAAATGTTTTTTTAATAATACTAAATTTTTATTTTCAAAATTAAAAACTTTTTTATTTTGTACTTTGAAACACTGGAGCAAACGATATATTATAGATATATTCCCCTTTGGGGATGTGTTTTTCTGTAAAAATTGACAGTTATAAAGAAATTTTAAAGGGACAAAGGCTTTTTGAAAATTTTGATTAAACAGAGCATGGGGAAACTTTTCAAAGATTGTTCCCCGGGGTCCTCCCGGCAAAATCCGTTGAACTCAAAAAATGCAAACTTTTGGGAAAAATGTATGCCAAAACCCGGGGGTTTCCCGTTTTTTAAATGATCCCCAAAAAGAAGTCCTATGGATTTGCAAGTAAGTAACAACACAGGCAATTTTTATTCGATCATTAAACCCTCAATTTTTTTGAAAACAAATTGGGGCTTTGGGATTTTATCCTTATTCGTTTTTTTAAATTTTTGAATAAATCATCAAAAAGTTGAAATTTAATTTAAAATTTAATTTATTAAAAATTAAAATTTTTAAACCCTTTACAATTTAAATTTTTTTTAATTTTAAGAATAATTTTTTTGATGGTTAAAGCTTAAATTTATCAAAATTTAAATCGTTTTTTGATGGCCCCCACACAAAGGGCTTTTTTGTTTTTTCAAGAGTAACAAATTATTTTTTTAATTTAAACGTTGGTGTTTCTAGAATTTTTTTTTCCCCAAAATTAATCAAGACAAGGTATTTTTTTTTCATTAAACTTTTCTTTTTACCAAATGTCTTATTTTATAATCGTCCTGATTTAAACATTTCTATTTAAACAAAAGTTCCAATTATGTTTTCTGTTTTAAACAGTTTTTTTCAAAGGGTTTTTTTTTTAAAATATGATTTTCTCAAATTTAAAATTTGTCAATATTTTAAATTCCAAAAGCATTATTTTAAAGATATTTTCCCGATTTTAACCCTTTTTATGTTAATAAAAGGGGGGTTTAAATTTTAAATTTATTTTCTATAAATTTTAAAATCAAATTTTTTCCAAAATTTAAAAAAAGAATGGGATGTTAAAATTTAAATGATTAAAGTAACGTGGGACAAAAATTTTTCAGTTTCACATTTACATTTTTTATTTGATGTTTGAAAAAATTTTTTTATTTTTTCATAAATTTTTATATATATACTTTTTTTTTTCGTGTGGTATACACACCAAGTAAAAATATTTAATCAAAAAAACAATCAGGGTCTTTAGGGAAGTTTGGGCGTCTTTAATTTTTTCATAGATTTTTTAAACTTCGTCCTTTTTTTTTTCGTCGTTTTATATTAGTCTTCGTCAATTTTTATCTACGACTATTTTCCCATCAATCGTTTTTTTGAAAAAATGTTATAAAAAGGGGCCCCTTTCTCCATTGTTTTTGGGGTTTTTAAAGAAGAATTGTAATTTTTAGAATTATAACCTAAAGAATGGAAAAACTTTGCTGACAATACAAAATAATATAGCATAATTGCTTTTTTTAAGTGTATAAATAAGAATGCTTAAGATGACTTTTAAGAAAAAAGGAATCTTTTAAGATTTATTATCAATGTTTGCTTAGAGAAGCATATTTGGTTTAAAAATATTTATTTTAGCTGATCAAAAATTTTAACATTTAAATTTTTAATATTTTCAGATGCACAAAGGATAACGATTTCATATATTATGGTCCCCAGCTGCATACAAAAGGGAGAATTTGCCTTACATAAAAACGACATCATTGGTTTTCTGTGGATGTGGGCGGGGGGGTTTTTGGTCATTCTTCTGGGGGTGATTATTGTTCTTTAATGAAGAAAACAAAGGGAAGGGAAAAAAAAGGTAACGTTTTTGTACTTTCAATAAGTTTTTCACAACACCCTTAAATTGAGGTCTAAAAGGGCCATGTTAACTCCGTATGCAAAAAAAAAAAATTCCATTTTCTTTCACAAAAATCTCTGTATTAAAATTTAAAATATCTTTTAAAATTTTAATTTGGGTTTGGGCTAGATGATGAAATTTTACAAAAAACACTTCAAAAAATTTAAGACAGTAACGAGTATATTTGTTTGACAGGTACTGAAGTTAGAGTTGCTTGATTCGATGCATTGTATAACTAATGAAAATTCAAATGGTTTCCCTGTCATTTAATTTGGAGGACTTGTTGAGGTATGGTAAGTTCAAACTTGCTTGTATGGAAAAAAAATTCAAATATTGAATTGAAGTAAAAACATTACATTAGAAACATAAAACATTTTCTTTTGTATAATTTTTTTTACAGTGATCAAAGAATTGGACTTGTCAAGGGAGGTAGCACACATAGAAGACAATCCGGTTACACAGACTGAAGTGAGTCTAAATTCTTTCAAATGGTTTCCAAAACCGCTTTGAACCTCGTGGCCAAGCCTAATCCGGTATGAGACCAGAAATGCCAGAAAACTGAAATTTTCTTCATGGACGCGCTCAAATGATTATTTTACAAAGATAGTAACGGGCGAGGAGGTTTAATATTCCCTTTTTTTCCTATTCAGCAAGTGTTTATTATTCTTAATGAAATGTTTCCATTGATATAGTGGAAGGAAAAAGCGCAGAATGAAAACTGCATAATGGGATATTCATTTAAACTTTGATTTGTTTTAACAAATATCGCCTAAATTAGAGTCATCAAGCTCGTCTTCGAGTTATTTGCCCTTCAACTTAACATTTTGGGTTGAAAGGTCTAAATTTCCAAGGAAAGATAAATTTGAAATCAACAAAAGTCTGACTTACTGTTTTTTACTATTGCATATATTTTAGCATTTAATTCTTTCCCAAAAATAAAAAATTTTAAATTGAATTTAATTACTCCTTTTGTTTATTTTAAAATAATTCAGTATTATTTCTCATTTTAAAAAAGGCAGTTTTTTTTTCTGTACCATCGAAATATGTTTTGGTTACAAAAAAAAAACAAAGAACACGAAAAACCAATTTTTGAAATTTTGCACACTCTGTAAGGAAATTGAAAAAATATAAAGCAGAAAAACTCTGGACTTGCCCTTTGCTTTTGGTTACTTAAAAAAAATCAAGAATTTAAAATTTTTCAGGGACCTTTGCCCAACAACCCAAATATGTTTAAGCACTTAAAAAGTTCCCTACGTTTAAATGTTTCGCCAAATTTTATTGTATCATTTTTTTTATAATCAACCTTTACCAAAATGGTAAAAGAAAAATAACCCTTGGTTTTTTTTGAGGGTCTTTAAACAATAATATTGCTTCTTTTCTAACTAATGAAACTTATATGATATGATAACTGAGATCAATATAATTTGGTTATTTTTATAGGCATCCTCACTTTAAAAGCAAAGTGAAAAATGAAAATTAAATGTTCGGCGTTTTCAAATCATTGTTTGATGTCCAAAAAACATGCAAGGTGTTGCATTTATTTCGTGACCGTTGCGCTTTTTTTCGATCCTAAGTCAAGTTTTTGTTCATTTGATATTAGTCAGTCAATGTCCATACAAATTTCATATCATTCCTACAGATACATTTTGTATCATGTTTTATTCATTTACAGACCTATATATACCCGTCTCCTACCTACATACACCCAATATCAGCGTCTGGACACAGAGACAGTACTAAATCTGGACAATCTATGTATGACTACATTGATACAGAATCGAGGGTAAGTTATTAAAAAGTGAAAGAAAAACACAGTCATACAAGTTATAAAGGTTTTTTTTTTTTAATCATACTTCACAAATGTTTGGATTATCTCGGTACATCTTTCCCTACGCCGATTAACATACTTTGTCTATTTCATGTTGGAATTCAGGAAAAAATTAAAATGTTTTGAAGCATATCACAATCATATAACATTATTAATCAGGTCTTTAAAAATAAAGTTTTCTTAAATAATATAGATAAATTTGAATCTGTTAGGAAAATAAAGATTTTAGTCATTTAGCTATGGGAAACGGGACTTTAATTTCAGATTAATGTTTTTATTTAACTAACTAACAATATCTCCTTTTTCAGTTTGAGATTCAACGTCCAAGAATTCGTTCTTTGGCCATTCAGTGCATTTTGAATAATATGCAATAGAGCTACAAAATGTTCTTTAGATGACTTTTTACACATCACGATACAGACTACGATTTTAATCACTGATAATATAAGACATCGCAAAATCAACGTTCTTCATTATTAAATCATCACAACAAATCACAAGGCTGCAGTAGCTTGGGTGTGTCTGGGTGCTGCATCCTTGCCTTATAGATCTTTGTTCTCGTTTCTTATTTGACAATAAAAACAACGTTCAGTAAAGTTGAAGAGAAATGTAATTCAATGTACAAATAACAATCTGATAATACAATTTTTTTTAACTTCGCACTTAGAAAAGTTGAAATTGAATGTAGATTTAAACATGAAACAATATGGTTAGTTTTTGATGTTTTCGTGTTCGGGATGACTCTGCGATGGATATGTGGGAGGGAGATGTGTTAATCAGATTATTTTAGTGTAAACCCTTCTTTATATTTTGTTTGCTTAACAAATGAATGCAATATCTTATATAGTCATAGATATTATTTTCAAAAGCTATCTTAATTTTTCTTTTTTTATTAATTTTTGAACTTTTCTATTTTCCAAAATTGATGCATAAACTATTGTGTTGTTTTGTTTTTAAAGCATGCGAGGCTTGCTTTATTAATTTTTGTTCAAAAGCACAAAACTACACAACATCATTTAGCAAAGGTATCAATACAATTATACATAAATTAAAGAAAACGTCATTTCATTTTTTATTTCTATTTTCATTACATTTTCATATCAATATGTACAAAAATCAACTTTCTCCCCCCAAAATAATTGAATTTAGATATTTTTGTTGATTATCGTAAATTAAGAACATTCAATCATCATTTTAACAATACTACGAATTGTAATCGAAGATGATCAACAGAGGCCAACAATTAAAAAAAAAATAATTTTTTTTGGATTGTACCAGTGCTGCTTAAAGCAATCATCATGCTATACTTGTTTGTTTAATTTTGTAGATGTGTTTTCGACATGATATAATCTAGACAGATTTGTTTTTGCCATATTATTATTAAGCCAGATTTGTTTGTTTTTTTTGCAACAATATTATCCAGAAAATTTGATATAATGATAGTACTCATAGAATGTTTTAAAAATCATGCTGAAACTTGGCATCCAATTAGTTAATGATATTCCCTTTCTTGCCGACATTAATTATTATTATGATAGTCTTTATAATCACAAATTAAAAAGAAAGACATTTTAATTGTTAATTCGCTTCAAATTTTTGAGAGTTTTCAGGACATAACCCATTTTATATGCATTCAATGCGTATTGATGTTTTAAAGAGCGGCAAATGTTTGAAAAATTGAAAAAAAGATATATATATATATATATAAATGTTTGCATTGCATAAGAATGTTTATAGTACCTATTGTGATTAAAAGAACATCTTAAACTTTATCAACAACTTATTTACTGTCCTTTTTATCTAAGGTTACTATCCAATATCTTTTTTTATTTAATTTTGTTAATTTGTCATTATTTTCATGTATATACAATGTAGTCAGTTAAGCTTTATTTTTGCCGTTATGAATGGTGAAAAATATACCATCATCATTATTACCTTGTTATGGTGTTATGAGTTTGTTTTATTCCATAGTTAGTATATTTGTTTCTGTTCTTAGAATAAAGACAATAGAATTAAAAATGTATTCTGTTAAATTGCAAAAGGAAAACGAAAACATATATAATTTGTGTTTCAAAATATATTTAATTGAGGAATACGTACAACTACTCGTATATTAACAAACATGAGGTTTACTTCTGTATCCACTTAACATTTGCGTATTACAATGAATAATGAAACGATGCGTTATTTATTTATCAAAGTTTTCTACATTGCAATGAACACTTATCAAGTAAAAGTTATGTAATAAGTATTTCATGAGTTTTTTTAATGATTATTGACATTAGTTCGATCATTTGTAAGACGATGCACCATGTTTATGCTTTCATAAGCTTTAGACAATCTTTTGTTTATAAGGTATATTTCATGTTCATAGACAATTGCCATACAATTTCAAAAATTAAGTGTGATCACATGACTGGTCGATTAAAAAATCCAAGACTGATCATCTATGGTTTTGCGGGATCATCATATCCCTCAATCACAAAGCGATGTGTGATAAAATATGATTCTGATCCATTGACTGTCCTGCAAAAGCTGTTAATTAAGATGTTACATTATTTGTATTATATTCCTTCAAACGGTGTGCAGTACATTCGAATACACGATTTATTTTCATTTAATATCTAAAAACAGTTTGTTGACAAAATAGATAAAAAACAAAAGCATTACACGCTTTAGAAAATGTTCATCTACGACTTTTAAGTATGTCAAAACCACGGTATCTCACTTAGGCTTAACATGACTTTCAAAGCAAGAACAAATGCTTTGAGTTTATATACAGAGGGAATATCCTCGATCCAAAATTCGACCATATCTGTTGGACTCTAAAGGCCCTTTTCCATGGGTAAGAGCTTTGCTGTCGTGTGACCATTAATTTCCAAACAAATTCAGTTGTTAATCAGCAAAATCTTGATCCAGGATATGCCTTAATTGGAAGAACAAATCGATTTTGAAAAAAGCGAACCTGCTAAGCTGGCAATTTGCGCATATTTTTCATAGGTAAGACTTTTGGCTTGATATTGTTGTAACCCACCATTTCCCTACGGTTAGAGGTTTGGTCAAAGAAGACTATCTATTCAAACTAATACTGTTTGTAACAAACAAGCCACGGACTCTGACAAATAGTGTCGTGACAGGCGGCTCAGAACATTTTCATATGTTTAGAGTTTTGGTCACAAAAAGTTCTTAATAATTTAGAGAAAAAATCTTAAGTTCCAAAAAGTTAGGAATGCAACATTTACAATTCTTCTTTGCGCTCAGTAACGCATCCCATTCTGTAAACGTCAAACCTCTTATTGTTTTTTTACCAATAAATATATAAAGAAAACTTAATTTCGGACGAGCGTCCCGAGGGAGAAAATAAATTTTGGGAAATTCTATACGAGGTTGAGAACAAAGAAATCTTTAATTATTTTTTTAAAGTTATTACAATGTAACAATATTCAATCCATTATTAAATCATTTAGATGTTTTTTTTTGTAAAGTAATGTTTCACAAACATAAAGTTTGAACTATTATATAAGAAAGCTACTTTAAATTTGTATTCTATGATTGTCAAGAACCAAGAAAAAAAATTAGTGGACCTTGATTTGAAATGAAAGACAATGCTTAATCATTTTTCAAATTTTATGTTTGTGAAACATTATTTTACAATAAAAACAATGTAAATAATTTAATAATGGATTGAATAATGAATAATGGAAAAGACAAAATGTGGAAAATCATAACAAATGTATGTCTGACTAATTTGTAGTGTAAATAATGTACATTTTTTAATGAATTTTGTGTATAATACAGCGTGTTTGTCACGACAAAATATTTTGTTGACGTATGCATCAGCAGATTTTGTGGATTAATTTATTTAGAAATTTATTCTTTTTGACTTGTGTCTTTTTATCTGTCTATGTATAACGTAATAAAATTCCCTATTGATATGTTAAGTGTTACAAACATCAAGATATAGGACTTTGAATATTTTATCCATATTTATGCACGATAGTTTGCATGGGAAATACCATTAGTTGCATGTAATTTTTAGATATCACCGCCGTTCAGACTCATGTATCAATCATTCCTTAATGTATCCTTTATGATGTATGTTTTTCATAACTACTTACGTCTAAATATTGCATCGTTTATGAAGTAAAATGAAAATTGTAAAAGTAAAGAAAACATTTCTAGGAAATTGAACATGTCAGAGAGTATTTTTTATTTAGTTATTTAATTCAATATTGCGCAACTAGATTCTGATTTGCCTATTTTTAAATTGTATGTCTTATGCCATTCTTATTTTATTCAATTTATTGAAAGGGCTATAGATTTAGTCTTTCTCGAAATTATAATCAAAGAATATAGTTATCCGTCTATGGTGGAGTATTAAAAAGTCACTATAGTTTTAGGTGTGAGTGTAACCTTGTGTAATAAAACTCCTAGATGCAAAGGGCGAGGTGTTTTTTTTAACTCAGACAATGTATATCTAATATATTTTCATACATATACAAAGACTTACTATCTACCTGTTGCGTATTTCTGGAAAATACCAAGGAGACCATAATATTAATATGTAGTGTGATACCGAATCTTGAAGATGTTTAAATTAACTGTGAAGCAAAAAAAATCACAACAACATAAAACAACAAAACAAAATAAACGGACAATGACATATAGATTAGATATAACATACACTCAATATTTTCTGCAAATCGTCAGTGCTAAACTGCTAGCACGGATATTGTATACAGCAATATATCGTTACCAAAGGAGATATTACCATCAATAATCTATCAAACAAACATTTATACATTGGTATAAAGAACCAATGTTACCCGATGCTTATTCTCAAAGACAATATATTTAGGAGCTTGGATTTGCTCCTCCAGGAATGTATCCGTTTATAGGTACTAATACGCTAAAATGAAAATAAAGTTTATGTCTGGATGCATTGACATATCTTGACAATTTTAACGTTATACATATGTGTTTCCAAAAATTGTGATAAATAAAAATAGTTAAAATATAATAATAAAAATATTGTTCAGAACTTTAGATACAATATGATTACAATTCCATAAAAATGTCAATAAAACATGTTTACAGTTCAGAGTTACTGAAAAACATTTGTGGTGTTAAAGAAGGCAATATGTTATTGTTTTATTATTTTAATGACGAGAATAACTCTCATATATCTATCATAACATCTGCAGTTTTGTTATTTCGCTACATTGAATAAAAAAGTCACGTATGGTTGCCAGGCAACCTATTTTCCTTTGTTTTTGGATTCAGACAGAACATATCAAATGAAAGCGTTGATATTAATATTATATTAATATTAAAACAATAAGGGATAACATATTACACTG